CAGGAGGGGATGGAGGAAAGTGAAGCTTAAAGATCTCCCAGGGCAGCACTGCCCAACGCCTGCCCTGGTCCCTCAGCTGGGAGAAGACCCAAGTCCTTTCCCACCCACCGGCTTTGTCCCAGGCTGCCAGGAGGAGGGACACAAATGGAGAAAGCAGAAATGTCCCTTTTGGAGATGGCAGCTGGCCCTCTTAGCCCCAGGGCATGCCATACGCCCCGGGGCTGCGTTCGGCCCCGCCAGCCCAGGCAGCTCCAGCCTCGGCCACCCAACGTGCCTGCTAACGACGGCCGGTGGCTGCAGAGACATCCCTGTGTTTGGAGCGGGCCAGGCGCTGGCTTTACCCGCTGGCGAGGGAGCGCTGCAGGTGCCTTTGAAAGGCCCCGCTGGTGGCTCCCAGCTCGGATCACATGAGGCTCAGCTATCTTTAGCTGAAGGTATTTATATTCCAAGTTAGCGGCTGCTTGTTTGCCGGGGAAGCTCAGTGAAGATACCTAGGGGTCGGACAGGCAGGACGCGGGCCGTGCCGGGGCACGGCTATCACGCACCGAGGAGCCACAGGTGCTGTGTCCCCACCGCCCGGGCAGCAGGACGCTCGCTGAGCACCGCCGCTCGCATCCCCGCGTTGGGACAGAGGATGACTCCGGATGAGAGCGCCCGGCCGATGCCCCCAGACAGGGTGCGTATCCGAGTAGAGGAGCAGCTCTTCTCGGTGGACAAGTCCCTGCTGGTGGAAAGCAGTGAGTATTTCCGCGCCCTCTTCCGGTCTGGCATGAAGGAGAGCACGCAAGACGAGCTGCAGCTCCACGACCTGAGCGCGGTGGGCTTCCTCGTCATGCTGCGCGTGCTGGCCGGCGAGAGGCCTGTGCTCAGCAGCGAGGAGAACTTCAAGGCTGTCGAATGTGCCGCCTTCCTGCAGGTGAAGCCCTTAGCCAGGTACCTGCTCCATTCCATCAACTCCGACAACTGCATCCTGCTGTACCAAGCTGCGGCCATATTTGGCCTGCTAGACCTTTTCCACAGCGCCGCCCTGTACATCAGGGACAGCTACGCCGAGTTAGAGGAGTACCTGGATTGCCTCTCTGCCGAGCTGCTGGACTACGTGGAGTCCCTGCTGCCCAGCACCTTCATCGCCGTGGGAGCCCACACTCCCACTTTCGAGTTCCTCGAGGACCTCTCCAGAACCATCTGCTACCTGGATGAGGACAACAACACGTGGAGGACCTTGTCTTGCCTACCGCTGACGGCCAGCACGTTCCTAGCCGGCATGGCGACAATGAATAATAAGATCTACATCGTGGGTGGCGTCTACGGTGCCAGCAAGCAGGTGGTGGAGAGCAGCTTCTGCTATGATGCAGACACGAACACTTGGAGTGAGTTCCCCAGCCCTCACCAGCTCCGCTACGATGTCACGCTGGTGGGCCACGAGGGTTATCTTTATGCCATAGGGGGAGAGTACGAGAAGATCTCGCTGAAGTCTGTGGAGAGGTACGACCTGTCCTCCAACACCTGGACGTTCATCTCCGACCTGCCGCAGCCCAGCGCGGCTACCCCTTGCGCCCAAGCCTTGGGGCAGATCTTCGTCTGCCTGTGGAAGCCACTGGACACGACCGTCATCTACGAGTATGAGACCCAGAGAGACGAGTGGCTTCCCGTCACAGAGCTCAAGAGGCCCCAGAGCTATGGGCACTGCATGGTGGCCCACCGCAACAACCTCTACATCATGCGGAACGGGCCCTTGGACGATTTCCTGCGGTGCGTCATAGACTGCTTCAACCTGACCTCCCACCAGTGGACCGCCCTGCCCGGGCAGTTCATGAACAGCAAAGGAGCCCTCTTCACCGCTGTGATCAAGGGCGACACGGTCTACACCGTCAATAGGATGCTCACCCTCCTCTACTCTGTGGAGGAGGACACGTGGAGGTCCAAGAAGGAGAAGGCTGGTTTCCCCAGGAGCGGCTCCCTTCAGACCTTCCTCCTGCGGCTGCCCCGGCGCGACCACGACATCGCGACGTAAGCTGCCCCCGCCTCCGCAGGGATGTCCCGGCGTGCCGGAGCCGGGGCGAGCTCTCTGTAAACAGCAAGGTTTTCCACGTCCGCCTGTCCCGCTCCTCCACTTTGGGGCATCTGGGGCTGCAGGACCGTGATGTCCATTGTACGGGATGCCCACCGGATACTGTCCGCCCCACCTGAGCCCAGGGGAAGGGCTGCGGGTCCGCTGCCGCCCGCCCCGACTGCCTCTGCCCCAGGGTGGACGGGCGATGCTCTCTGCAGCTCTCAGCCAGCTGTGGTTCAAATCCCAGATGTTGACTGCTGAGCCAACAGCTCACGGGGTTTGGTGACTTCTGCAGGTGAAAGGGCCTGGAGGAACAAGGAGGTGGTTTTTATGTATTTGACTAAACTCTGAAGACGTGTAGGAGCCCACTTGCTCTCTGTTTGGATGGAAAATTATTCATTATATCCTGGAATTAAATGGCAAGTTTTAAAAAAGCCTCGTGTTTTTCATTACTCTTCCCCCCTTCCTTTTTTTCAAATAAGGTCCCCTTCTGAAGGAAATTAAATCAGGTACCTTGTAATGAGGAATACAAGTCAAAATTTGATTCTGCCCGTTGAATGCTTTTTCAGCTGCAGCTATGTTTTAAGAGCAATACTTTGGAGAGCATTTCCCACGTAGCTGCTCAGCTCCCCGGGGGAAACGTCCAGGGACCGGTTTCCAATTTAAAGGGGCAGCACGGATAGAAATCAGGCCCCCGGGAAGCACTCCCTGCGCCGCACCGGGGGACCAGGCAGACGGAGACCGTGTCGCAGGGTCCCCGCAAGGGCGAACGGCCCCAGCGCCGCGAGCTCGGACGGGATATATTGATGTAGCTCATAACAACCTGAGCCTACTTTCTTGGATTTCCAAGAACAGAAACACTAGAGTAATAGTAGCTACCCTTAGGAGCATGTCCTAGCAGTCAAGAAAACTAGATCTTCTGCAGTAAGCCTTCACGCTGCCCCAGTAACATAAGTAAACTGTACAAAGTACTCCATGAGCTTATTCACCTCTTCTCGCTCTAAAGTAGTCAGCACTCCTTGAGACCCTTACTTATGTGCAAATGTTCTGATGGCAAGCAGAGATAGCTGGATTTATTTATTTATTTATGGCAAATAACTTGCAGCCAATCTGACTGAGGCTTCATTGTGCATCCAGGTGGTATGTGACAGTCTCCACCACCAAGTGTTTAGCTCACTGAATGCACAAGGTGGAACAGATGAAGGTGAACAGTTCATCAAGGGAACAGAGGGAGGACAAGTTGAGAATAACAGTGGATCCATGATATGGTGTATACAGTGGTGGTCTAAATGAATGGCAATTTATAAATAATTTTAAGACTCCATCTCTGGAGATGGACTCTTTGTTCACTGCATTAGCTTGAGTGACTGTCTGTCATTACTGTCTGGATGTGATCCTGGGCAATATGCTCTAGGTGACCCTGCTTGAGCAGGGAGGTTGGACTAGATGATCTCCAGAGGTCCCTTCCAACCTAAACGATTCTGTGATTCTGTGATTCTGTGAAACCTGCAGAAGAGAAGGGGAGCCAACGGCATAAACGCAACGGCCCTGCTCAGAGACGCACGTCACCTGGACCGCCAGGTCTGGTCCCGACTTCGTCTTGCTGGGACACATCCGAGTGTGCGATGCTGTTACAGTGCGCTGGCCCCGCGCGGCCTGACGGGCTCGTCGTACCGCACTGGACCGGCCCTGAGCGCTTGCATGCCTTGGCCATGCCTCTGCCTCCATCCGCTCCAAGGCGGGACGCCAAAAGGGTTTCGAGGTGTGACAAGGAGCGTGAGGCTCGGGGGGCCCAAGCCTGCTTTCGGGAGCGAGCTGCCTGGGTGCAGGAGTGGAGCAGCGAGAGGCCGTCAGCTCTGCTGGTGTGCAGCCCTGCGGCATTTCTCCTCCCCAGCCTTCCCAGAGCCCAGCCAAAGCTCAGACCAGTAGTAACGGTGCCGACCAGTCAAAGTGAGGCAGGGGCATCACACCCGGTCTGCTGAGCTCCAGCCCGAGCTGGGTGTTAATGAGACTTTCTCCTTCAGGAGCCTCTGGACCAGAAAGGGTTTGACCTGGGAGAGCGGCAGGCGGGCCCTAGCGCTCCCGGTCCCGTCGCAGCAGCCCCGGGTGCCTGTTTCCCAGGCAGAAGCACCAGTCCTCAAGGTTTTACGTCAGGTTTTGGGGCCTTTTCTTTGGGGATGCTTGGAGAAGCGCTGCTCCCACTCACCTTTATAGGCGGAGCGCTTAGCGCTGCTGGAGAGCGCTCCTCGAGCGACACGGGAGCGAGGGCTCTTTCTGGCACTGCCTACGAAGCCACCATCAAACCCAGAGCATTGCACAAGCCGTTTCCCATAAACTGGGCGGGCTCCTAGCTGCCGGTGCCTCCCCGACCAAAACGGAGCGGAAGAGAATACCCGCGGGGATGCCTCAAATACTTACACTTTTGACCCTTACCAAGTTCTCAGCATTTTCAAAACAGTTACGGCACTAAAAAAAAAAAATAGAAAAAGACAAGCCTGCATCCATGTCCGTTTTTAAAAACCCTTCGTGTGCCTGTCCCCGTTTGCCCTCTGCCGCCAGGACCCAGCTAAGGCGCAGGCCTGACGGCGACGCAGGCAGCATCTCCGGACACGGAGCGCGGGAAGGTGCTGCAGATCCGTAACGCTCCTCAGGGAGGACCATCGCGAGCCTGCGGTATGGACAGCAATATGCCAGACGAACCCCTTCACCTTAATCTGTGCCACAGATGCCGACTGATTGTTACTGTGCTTAAAAAATTTTGTCCTCCTGTTATCGCAGGTCGTGCAAGGACAAGGTCTGTAAGACCAGGTCAAGGCATCTTGGATTTGTCTCTCCCTGGCTGTGTTTCTTTGCTGACCTGAAGATAACCATGCGCTGTGGGAACAAGCCAGCCTTGCTCAAGGACTAAAATATCTGCACTGAAAATGTTTTATTCCGGTTGTAAAACTGAGGAGGATGCCCGTTTTTGTGAACCTCCTGTTTGTTAGTCCTTGGACTCCTGTGGTTTTGCCCTTCACCAGCTCAGCTAAGCTCAGAATCATCTTTGATTTTACTATATAAGAATCTCTTTGTTCTGAAACAGAGCTTTACTTGATGCAAGGATGCTCAGGAACAACCCAACAACTGCTTACTACGACAAGGCTGCACTTCGGATAACGTTGCCTGAAACTCACCATTCCTTGTTAATCAGCGTTCTCACAATCCCAGCAAAACCGTAACGAGGGATTTGGAATAACCACTGTGCTGTTGCACCGGAAAGCTGACACGCGGATGCGCGAGCTGTTAGCACAAATTCCATCAAGTCAAATCCATGCTCCCTCTTAGATGAAACCAATTAGCCTTTCCTGCTCTCTTCTGCTTACTAAAAGCAGCACACGTAAGGCACTGTGTTTTAAACCATTTCAAGTTGAATAACCAGTTTAAACTTGCTATCAAAATAAAGTTAAAATAATTATGTTGTTAAAATATTTATGACAGGCTTCTGTAACTAAACCAAGGCAGTTTAACTTGGCAGGCTTTTCCATTCCTTCCAGCCTTGGAAAGACCAAGCAGTACAACCTCTACCCCCACCTTCATGCCTTCTTTTCCCTTCCTTTCTTCCACAGCTCACAGGTTTACAGAGATGTTTACTAATAAAAATGTAAATGTTTTTAAGATTTTGAGGGTAACGCTTGAGAGACAAAGCAAGTCTTGGCAGATACTAGTGAGCACGGCATGGATGCTCCCAAGAGATGAATAACTTGGTTACAGCTATCTGCACTGAAAGCAGTACAGAACACAACACAAGACAGAGTAAAACTGCCGGGTTAGCTTCTCGCTGTCCTTGCTCCTCAGCTGCACGAGGCACTTGAGCTGCGCAAGGAAGAAAAGGGATATTGTTTTTACCTCTACAAGTAGGGGGGAAAAAACTATGAGCCAGGACCAGGCAAACCTCAAAGCAGAACTTGAGTCTGTTCAAACATTGCACGGTGAGTGGGTGCAACACCACGAGTTTGATTTGCTGCTCAAGAATTTAGCACTCAACATTAGGCATCACTGGCACAGACACACCATCGTTATCCAGCTCTTTAAATCTTCATGACGTTGACTCCGCCAAAGACTACAGTTAGAGGCTAAGCGATATATCTAATCATAGTTTAACCTTTTGCAAGTTTCTCTTTAAGGTGACATCATCTTGGCAAGGATGCATGCAATGAAAAGCTGTCTGTAGAATGGACTTGCCTTATAAGGGCCGTATCAAAAATAAAAGCTTGTATAACCAAGTGAAATCTTCTACAGGAAAAACAGGGATGTGAGCTCCAAGGAGAGCCTTGCAAGCTCCCCACGTACACCAAAAGCTCGCTGCGCAAACAAACTCAATATAGCATGTGCCGGGACTCGGAGGAGCACGGCTTCCTTGCATCTTTAGACTGAAACCACAGTTTATGGCTTACGGTTCCCACTTGATGCAAGGAAGGCAAGACAAAGGTGAACCTTCATGAGATGAAGAGCAGGATCTGGCTGTTCCCATCCCCTCATGTCCCATTGGCTGAATTTCCACTTCCAATACAACATCCTACCTGCACCTTTGAGGCCTGTCACAATTCAGTTCACGTGGCACTTTCTGCCAGCAACAACTATCGCCTGTAGTGAACGTATCCCCTGGGATCGTCCCTGCTTTCTCCAGCAAGCTAAAGCATTCGAGTCCATCTCCTTTGGTCTTCTTCATGCTTCTGGGCCTTGAGGTGAAGCTTTGGTCCCATCTCACAGATCTAGCTCAGGGGCTCCACTGTCCGCACCAGGCAGTGCTGTGCCAGCCGTTCAGGGTGCGCACAGCCAAAAAAGCGTGCTGAAAATGAAAAAATGTCCTCAGCTTACGAACAGTCTCACTGGAACGGGCCCTTCTGTGGGCACTGCTGAAAGGTGAGCTTTCGTAAAGGATATTGCGAAGAAGAGCTGGCCAGAAGAAACAGCTGGGTAATCTGGACGCATGAGCTGCCCAGCCAGCAAGAGGAGGTGGGACTGAGGCCACCTCTCCAGGAAGCTTGCATGGCCCTCCAGCAGTCCAAGTTGAGCCAAGCTGAGCGGTTTTCACTGGCATTTTGGGACATTTCCATTTTCGCATGTAAACAACTTGTCAGAGTCTGCAAATTTTCCTTAAGCAGTGAAATACCATACATGCGCAAAATATTCAATACTGGAGCAGAATTTTTTAAATGTTGGTGCTCCCACTGCACCCCTGCCCTTTACCTCCCTAATCCCTGCAAATTATCTCCCTTAGCAATACAGGGTGCCACATTTTTCCTTTCAATTATGTTAAAGAAGTGCGAGTATAACGAGCCCTTGGAAACGGGCAAAGCAACTCCTTTCCACATAGCCTCAAAAGGGAGAAACTCAAGACTCCTTGAGCGCTGTTCCTACCGTGCGGGGCTCCGCATCTGCAGGAAGCTGCTCTCAGCAAGGAGAGCGTGCCGATACGGTGCTCTCAGGGTCCTCAGAAATTAGACTAAGATAGAAAAAAAATAGACTCAGTCGTGCAAGTAATTTCCCGAAAGTAACATAAGAGACTGTGTCTGAAACAGTCTAACGAGACAAAGAAAGGCGCAGCCGTGCCAACGGCACCGAGGGACGTCCCCAGGACCACATAAGGAGGATGTTGCAAACTGAAGTCAGGTGTCTCCTTTGCCCATTCTTCACCCCAAGATCCAGATGGAGTTTCCTCGTTGCTCCGGTGCTGTGCAAGGACGAGCGCCACCATGGAGGTGTATTCCTGCGTCCCAGGGTTTGAAAGCCACTAACAGAGACGTGGGGAAGGAAGACAGATTGTTTTAGCACGATGGAAAGGCATTGTGCTAAGAGATCTTCTGGAAGGATGCAATGGAAAAATGGTAAACACTTTGCAAGTAATTAGGAACCATCTCTGCAAAGTTGTGCCAGTTGGCGTTTTCATATGAAAAGACACAATAAATACATCGAAGAGCCCCTCCAGAAATCTTTACTCAAAGAAATTACATCTGTATCTAATTGAAAGGAAAATAATGTACTTTTATGGGAAAAATTATCCATCATTACATCACCAAAGCCAGAGAAACATCTAGTAAGGTGATTCGAATCTAGTGTTCTCCATATTTCTCATACGTACACAAATACCCCCAAGCACCCAGATTTTCTGGATCTTGACGTTTGTGCAGAACTTGATTTCGAGCCACTGTCTCCACAGTGTAGGGGGACATCCCCTGAATTTTCTTAATTTGGGCACAGAATGAAAGGCAGGCAGAGCAGAGCCATTCTCCATTTCTCCATTCAGACTTCATAAAATTTCCTGAGTGCACACAGCACAAAACCCTGCACAAGCCATCTCTCATTTTATTGGATAAACTTAAAGCATTAGTTACCTGAAATAACGACAGGCTGCTGTCTTTTCTTACCCTTCACTGAATTATGCATTCTTCATAAGTTTCTATTTTAAAAGGAGATGCTAACGTGATCTGGCTAGATTTTATTTAAAATATTCAAACCTGACTAAGTTGGTTCAGAGTCTTCTCCAAAAAGGAACGACTAACGTTCCTAGAAAAGTGTTTGCCCTTTATGAAAACAGTCTCTTCTGCCGATTCAGATAACGTTTTAGGAATCTACACTTGACCGCGTTTGCGAGCGCGGCAATACCGAAAGGAGCTACCGCAGCTTTGCTCCACGTCATCCGCGAGATGAGGAAGCGAGGCGGGGCTCGCCGCGTGGCTCCTCCAGCGCCTTTTCCCTGTGATTCTCACAAAGCAGAAGAACCTCTTTGATTTCGTTCTGCTGGAAGCCCATGTCGTTGAACTGAGCTAAGAGATGCAAGAATTCGGCAGCCTGCAAGAAGAAGGAGGAAGAGAGAGGAGCGATTTTATCACGCTGCTTTTTAAGGCAGGTTCACTGCAACGTTCCAGCAGAAGCAGCCCTGTGCAGCGGGGCGGCAGGAGGGCCAGGCAACGCGGCGGGGTTGTATTACAGCCGAAGGGCACTACCGAAACCGCTGCTGACAGCGGGCTGGCGAAGGGGGGACATACAAGGACGAGTTCCTAAAAGGGTTTCTTTTCTACTTTTTTTTTTTTTTTTAATAAGAAACGTTTAATAAAGCGAGGCTCTAACTTCACTTGGTCCTCATAAAATTAAATACGGATTCCCGTCAAGTGTTTGTCCGCGTTACAGAACTATTACTTGAAACCGGGGAGAGCCAGTACATACAATCTGGAATTCATTTGTTCTGCTTTCTCCTCCCTTCCTCAAGCTGCGTCCCGTTGCCACAACGGCCCACCTGGAGCCATGTTCTCAATAAATTACCTAAAAAAATGAGGAACAGCTGCTT